TCCTCGAGAGCCTGACGAAGCTGATCTTCGGTATATTGAGGCATTATATATAGAAGAAGACATGTGCAAAAGATGAGCCCATTTGGACGCGAATTGAAAATGTTGTGATAAAAGGAGGTTGGGGGTGGGCATTGGGTTGTGGTGGATTTTCGCGTTTTTGTGGGTGCCAGAAACAGGGGGGTGCCAGGAAGTGGGTATGTTGACTTATTAACAGGTTGAAGATTTCCTCCATCAGCGTCTTTGGGGCTGCAGTGACTTATACGAATGAAATACCCAGCCGATGTGGCGTCCTGGAGACTCTTAGGTTTTTGCTCCATTTCTGCTGCCAGTCCACTCAGAGGCTGGCTCTTCTCAGCTTTCGCCAAATTGTAGTTTAGTCCAGCTGCAATTCCTAAAAGTCGGCGGACTTCAGCTTTGGTGAAGTGGTGGATTGCTGCAGGTGGATTAAGCATGCACTCCTGAATTTGCGGCGCCAACCAGCGACTCATATTGAATCGTGCGATTTCTTTCTCTCTCTGGCCTAGATACGAAGGAGCCAAATAGCCCGTCTCTTCGAGCCATGGAGCTAATTCGTGGTGGTTGTAGGAGTTTAGACGGGCTGATGGTGAGGTGTTAAGCGGACGGCGCTGAATCACCGCGGGTGCTTGGTCTCGAGACGTCATATTGGAAATCAGAATGAAAGAGAAATAGATAAAGGCGGAGTGTTACATTTAATCCTTTATCGCTGCACCTTCTTTGTTACTTACTTAACTATATGTGTTCATCGCATCGAAGGCTGTTGATGAGTCACGCCGTGGGACGTCCGCCGGCCCGAAGGTTTTAGAGATTCTGGAGCTAGCAATATAGCCAGATCATCCGCCGCCTCGAGGACGGTATAATTAGGGTGGGCGAGGTGAGCAGGATGAGTGCAAGCAATCTCGGCTTTCACCTATCATTAACTCAGGTGCTTTTCTGAGCAATTTCTTCTAACAAGTAATCTAGCCTTATTCTGTAAAGTACATTCGTACTGGGTCTCGGCTGCCTCTCAGCCATATGATACTCAATCCATCTATACCGGGAATGATGTCGTCGACATCATCAGGGCGTCTGAAATCTGGAGGGATCCATAACAACCGTTTCCCGTCACGCACGATCCATTCTCGATCGCGGCTGAGACCATACCCGCGGAAGAAGGGCATTGCTTCCGACCTCTCTGAATCTAGTGTTTGTTCCAGGTCTTCTCCTGAGATTCTAGAGCCTGCGTGGATAGAATCCGAGCTACTCACACCCAGAGAGTTACTTATATCGATAAAGCCGTACTCAGTATGTAAACGATTAACAAATCTGGTGTCAAACCTTACTCCGATGGATTCAACTTTGTCGCTTATGAATGTACGTATAAGAGATCCAGACTTCAGGTCCCATAAAAGAATTGCTACAAAATAACATAGAGAGCCTTTTATAATTTCGTAGAAAGAAAACGCAAGCTGTTGCATATCTGCTGAGAAGCTCAGAGATCTGATATAGCAGCTTGAAGGGTATACCAAAGAAAGCGTTGAAATGCACTGCTTTGTAACAACGTCCCAGACCTGGATGACAACTTTCCAGATCCCTTGGACATCAGATGCTAGGCAAGCAAATCTTTGGCCTTGGCTCGAAAGAGTGATATCTGTAGCAAAGCTATGGCCGGAGGCGATGGTGTGCGAGCAGCTGCCGTTAGATGTCTTCCAGATCTTTATCAAACCCCCCAAACTTGAAAAAAGCTGAGACGCATTCCCAAAGGTCAAAGAGTCAATTTCAGGCATTCTCTTAGACCTTTTTCTTTGTCTTTCGACGTAGTCGTCATCAGCTACTTCATCGTCCCAATGTCTTCGTTGGCAAACGCTCTCTTCAGAGTCACGCGCATCGAAGCAGATGTGCTCTGTACGACCACAGACTTTGATCGTGATAGCGCGGGTACTCATGTTCCAAATCGTGATCGTGGTCTTATTGAAAGTAGTTAATGCAAGTTGCTGGTTGTCTTGAGAGAGTGCGATAGCAGACACATGCTCCTCATAGAACGTTGACTCCGGCATATTGGGTCGTCTGCCCCAAAGTCTGATCTTCTTCATTTCGGGATAATATGCCGCGAAGTGATCCTCATCGGCACAGACTAAATTTCTCGGTTGATCATCTGGAAAGTTGGGTACGGCCTCTCCGATGATTGATAAGTCCCAGACTTTGATTGTTGATGCATAGGATGCCGAAACGATTCGCTGAGCGTCTGGTGAAAAGCATATTGAGTATATTTCGTCCATGTGGGAATCGGACATCACCCACGTCAAAGCACGAGTTGACGTGTTCCACACGCATATGTCGAGTCGAGAGCCTGCTGCTAGGAACCTTTTGTCGGCTGATATATCCATATAGACGGGAACGTCTGTCCACTCTGGCCAGTTTGGTTCCTCATATTTGATCTTCAGAACCGACTTTCCAGTTCGTCTTTCCCAGATCTCCACAATGGAGCACCTTTCAGCGATGGAGCTGCCACCTGACGCAACCCAGGCTCCACCCAGCGACCAAGCCACAGTAACTGTCCGGTGATCCGTGGATATCTGTTGGTACCCCCCTGTCGATACATCGAAAATCCCGAGTAGATGATTTGTTGATCCTAAAGCGATCCACTGGCCATTTGCGTTCAACGCTATGGAGTGAACTTCACCCTGTGGAGGATGACACTCGATGGTGCGAGTAGAAAATTCTCCTTTCGTACTCCGAATGACGATACGACCTTGATCATACAATGCAACCGTGGACCCATCTGACGAGATGGTCATTGCGTCGGCGTTAGATGAATGTGGTTCAAGCTGGTGGGTGCAACGGCCTGTGTCTCTATCCCAGACCTTCACGACACCGTTAAAGAGGCATGATACAAATGATTTGCCGTCTGCTGAAAAAGCCACCGACTTTGATCCACGCGGTCCCATGCCCACACTGGATAGTCTATCCTTCTCTCCGTGGATACTGACTGTGTGCGTGCAGGTGCCACTCTTCGCATGCCAAAGCTTTACAGTGCCGTCGACATAACGAGTGACAAGCCACTCCCCATCGGGGGAGTAGGCTACTGTGGAAGCGGCCCCTTGACACTTTCTGTCACCTTCTAACGTCTGCAAACACGCGCTCCATGTTGGTTCTAGGCCAGGCGTAATTGTAACCCAGTCAGGCGCTTCATTCTTAAACTGTTCTTTCACAACGCTCTGTTCAGGGCTAAACAGCAGAGCCGAACCATACAGTTGTAAAGGGGTGTTTTCGATGACCACTCTGTGATAGAGTAGAAATCGATTCGCGTCATGAGTAAAAGCTGATAGACCTTGGTCGATTGAGCTGGGGCTTTGGTTCTATACCACATTTAGTCAGTAAACATGGTATACTAATATAACGAAATTCGACTTACGAACAGAACCTCAAGCTTTTGGATGGCTTGTATTGCCTGTTGCATATGGCGAAGGAGGCTCAGTGCCTCTATCCAGTTGAGAAACTTTCTCCTGAGGAAGGTGTTAACCTCGGAAATGACACGGGCCTCTTGTGACGTTGCCTTTCCCATTGCTATCCTTTCCTCACAGACCCTATCAGCCAAGTGGTCAACCCAATAGGTGCAAAAGTACTGCAAAGCAGACAAAGGGTTAGGTTCAGGGATACGGATTTCCGCTCCGCCTGTACTGGGCTCTCTCAAACTATAGATGTCGCGTTTCAGATTCCCAGGTCTATTGAGGACGTCCATAGAGATACCAAAAACAAACGGACTTGTGTCGCTCTGCAACAGTGGGAAGCTTTGAACCACTGCTTGCCAGAAATTCCACAGCCGACTGATGCACAAAGTAGATCTTTCCTGCTTGTATTTTCAAGAAAGACCCACATGACTCGATGACTTCCTGCAAAGATTCCGTATCATCACTGAAATGTGACTGGAGGAGAGGAAGAAGTTCCTTGATCGTGAGAGGGTGTTTAAAGATCGACACGACTGACAGTATCTCTTTACACAAGTCTTCCTCTAGGGAGGGCAAGGAGTTGATCATTCGCTCATAAAACGCGTTGAGTCCAGGTGGAAATGTCTCAAGCACCATCATGACGTGACGCTTCTTGACATTGCCATCAAGTAAAGCTTGACAAACTAAGGAGACCCAGAGAAACGTGTCCTGTGATTGATTTCTCAGATATACTCGGATTTTCGAGCAGGTTTCTTCGTCGAGCTTTTTGCGGCTAGCCAGCTGTTCAACTTCTCGGTCGATGTACGAATGAACCGCTTTGGAGATCAGATCGTCGTGTAATTCGAGGGTAATAGCAGACCCGTTTGTATCCTCCTCGCCGAGCACCTCGCCAATCTCGGTCCACTTTCGACTCGAGATAATGACTTTAGCGCGGGAAATTGTCGAGAGATTCTTGATGAACTGAAGCAGCTTGGGACGATCTGTCGTGCATTCGTCGAGCGCATCCACAATCAACAAAACGCCATCCAATTGTGGGTCACTGAGCATAGAATTGAGCAGCTCATACATAGTGCCCCAAGCGTTGTGATCATTGAAACGAGCTTTTCCACCCTTCTCATACTCAGCCAAGACCTGGTTTCGGAGCCAGGGATACTTCTGAGCCAGTTGAAGAACTAGGGACCGAAGGACGGACGTTGCGTTATCCAACGCTGGCACTGTAGCTTGGCAGAAAAAGTAGCATAGCGGACGCGGATCGCTTTTTTCCAGCTCTTCAATGATACCACAAATAAGCATCGTTTTTCCCTTGCCTGGGTCCCCTCTGAGCCAGAGCCGGCGGCTTTCAGGGTCGGTCCGCCAGCGTCGGAATTCCTCAACATTTAGGATCCATTCGTATGATGATTTGAAAAGTGTAGGAGTGTTATCCTTTCTACGAATTATTCGTTCCCTATCATCTTTGGGGTTCGTCTGGAAGAGTTCGCGAAGACATTCTTCACTTTTGCCATCTTCATGGCGCCTCTTTTGTTGTTTTGTTTGGTGCGATATGGCCTCTTTCGTTTCACCAAGCAGGGCATGCATTTGAGGATCTAGAATGTCATTTATTAACAAGTCCGTACTCTTTCAAGAGAGATTGTTATGTGCGTTTTAATCAGGTTGATCTTTTTATCACATAATTCTCCGACGTATATCAAGGAACAGGGCTACTTGCCAAAAGCTATGAGCTTCTCCTTCTTGACGTTGCTGGGAAGCACTCTTGATAGAAGATCCTTCGCATATGCCGCCGCGGTTGCAGCGGCGTAATCCTGCCATTTTTTGTTCTTGTGACTGTCTGAATAGTCGCAGATGCCACGAATCACCAGGCAGGGAAAGTCTTGCATCAGTCCTGCCGCCTCCATCTCAAAGCAAATCACCCCAAGCTCCTTGCTCAGTCGATCTCTGGTCTCACTATTCTCCACGACTTGGTTTGCCGAGGCGATGTTACCGTAGTGAACCACTGGGTCAGCGTCGTCTCGATCGAGTCGCTCCACAATTTGCGAATTATTGCAGCCATCGCAATCATTGTAGCTAGAGCCGGCGTTGACATGCTCGTACTCTGTTCGGAACAAGCGGTCGTTGGATTTGCCCTGATAAGTATACTTCTGTCGAAATGATGCTTTTCGGATCTTTTCTACCGCCTCGGAAAGGAACCCAGGGGTCTTGCTGGCACCGCGTAAGTGACGAGCTTGGAGGCTGCTGAGAGCTGTCAGAAGCGCCGTGGGCGGCGCATTGAGCGACCCTGTCCGTTCAAACTCCTCAAGCTTTCTTTTTTTCCCCCGGTCATACTGGATGACACCTCCACTGGTGCCAGTAGGCTTGCTGACGACGATATCGCCAAGTCGAATATCATGACCTGACGATGGCGCTCCGCCTCCGATCCCGACGAGTAGACCAAATCGAATAGATTTGAAAGTCCGGAGCATGTCTTTAGCAACTGTGGCGGCCGGGTTTGTTCCGTAAACACCATTCGGCAGACAGGCGATGACTACTCTATGGCCTTGCATGAGACCTAGAGTGTAGCTGTTGTGGTCACCATCATCTTGCTCGAATTGAACGTCGTCGTAAATTTCGTCCAGCATTAGTTCTGCGGCGGCCATCTCCAGAGGGAGAGCACAAATCCACCCGACGGTGTACGATTCTTTGTCCTCAGCTTCACTGATCCCATCTCCGCCCGCGGACGCCGCGCTGGACTTCGTGACGCTCATCTGCATGAAATATGTGTCGGAGAGACCTCTTCGTAGGAATCCGAGATGAAGATGCTCGCGAACGACGTAATCTGTGGAAAGCATGCACCTTGTCTCATGCCACTAGCAAAGCCCGAAGAAATCGAGTATGCTCAAGGAAGAGTTGTGCCAAAGTTCTGGAAAAACGCGGGGTTCTGCTGACAGCCTCGCAACAGCGACGAGATGGGGATCCTCCCTGCGGCTCTAGCCGTTCACGTGTACCACTGGTGATTGCATATGCATGCAGCGCCCGCCAGCCCGCCCTATCTTTTGACGAACGGACCACAACATGTCTGGCGTTTTCAGCTCCTCCTCCATGATAATAGAGCTTTGAGGTCAAACTTGCGATGGTGCATCGTGTCTGCTTTCGCCCCTCTGACCTTGAGTTAGCCGCCGTGATCATCACATAGCCTGCTTATTCCTCATACGCGGAACGACATGAGTGGCGGGAACGACTCCCACCCACCCCGAAGCAATGCCCAGCGGGACCCAGTCCTTGTGCATGCCAAGCGCCAATCCCTGCCTTCTTGCCGCCGAACAGACTTGTTGGTCACCCGTCCACGCCTTGAGATTCATGATCAGCCTTGGTTATTCCAGCTTCGAGAAAGGCGGCCAGGGTCCCTGGGATGATGGACCAACATCGAGCATGTTGGCAAGGAACGTGGTGTCTTCCGGAAAAGCACGTCGCAAGTCCAGGAAACGTTCATCGGCTCAGAGGTGCGAATAAGGGGGTCGAGTTGGAACAAACCGAATAAAATGTGCAAAAATTGTGGATGGTTATCCAAGTAAGGCTACTGGCGTTGATTTGTGTGGTTTGTTGTTATAGTTTTGGCAGTCACAATAACACACACTTTCAGCAGACAACGAGGCACTGAGAAACGTCCACAACGAAGCCACATCAGACAGGAAGACTTGAGCCACGGGTCAGGCAGGCATTTATGTACCAGATCTCTATTGATCACATTCATGCATCATCCATGACAGTGTCCAATCAGCTCCTTCGCCGCTCGCCGCTTCCGTCTCGCCCATGCTTTCTATCAAGTCACTTCAAGTCCTCCATCTGGAAGCAGGTTGCTTCCATTCCAGGCACTGCGTCTCCTCCTCCTACATGCCCACTGAGTCCTCCACAATATTACGGTCCTCGCAACGTTTATTCCATGTATCCTATTCGTCTGGAACTATACCATAAGGTTAACGAAGGTCATGCTGGCCGCGTCTAGGTCGAGACTGTTACCGACGCGATAGTTTCCTGGGCCCTATGGCAAGTATGACTAGGTGGAGACGATGCTACCAATGTTGCCGCACATCACTTCTAAGCCGATGGAGCTGCTTTGGGCGGGTTCGTTGGCGCTGATATGTACGTTGGACATTGGGCCGAGGACCATGGCGAAGTTTGGGATAATCAGGATTTGCACCACCGTAACTCGGCCTCAAGGAAGATTACTCGCATATCATTTAAGAACGTCGCCGCATACTAAATGTTCACAACTTTATAACGATCTCTCTAGTTGAGACTTCAAAGACACCATGCTCGAGTACTTCGTTACCCTCCCGAGCGCAGATCTCAAGATCCTGAAGGCGCCGGAACTCTGAATATCCCACTCTGCACATCTTCCTGAGCTTTCAAACTCAAGTTGACAATCTCAATAATGATATGTTGCCTCTCTGCCTCAAGGTGCTCCTCCGGGATAGCGCTGCCATACCACACGGAGGCATAGATATCAAGATACCTTTTCCCAGCCACACTGATATCCCTCACGGCAATATTCAACACCCCAAATCGGGTATTTTTGCCGTCGATAAGATTCTTGTCACCGCAAGCCTTGAGTCGAAACTCGGGTAGCAATCGCACCATCGGTCTCTGCGCACACGTTCGTGGGCTGTAGTTGGGAATACTAAAGTTGGTCTCCACCCCGCCCCAGCTCTCCAGAATCCGCGATGTGCCAGTCGCTCCTCCTCCAGCGTAAGTAGACTTCTTGAAATAGTGCTCCGCGTTGCCGCGATTATTAGCAGCATCTGCGAGAGGTGAGGCAGACCACGTCGAAAAGGCCCAGGCGTTGACATTGGGAAGTGGTACAAGGGCACGACACTCGACCGATTTCCACGTGGCTGGGTCCTGTAGCGTGGAATTGGAGTTGACGTCATACCAGAACTGTTTGGCATCTTCAATATCTTTGGAGAAGAGCTCGAGAAAGCCCCGGTCGCCGATGGAAGCTTTCCGTTTGGCGAGGATGTCCATACAGAGGGAGCCTGGGGTTGGGAGCGGGATCTGGCTGTTTGGGATGTGTGTGCGCTCGTTGAGTAGTTTGAGGACGAAGTGACATCGCTCGAGTTCAAAGTCGATTTTATTTCCTAGGGTCTTTGGGCCTGAGAGGATGTATGGGTGACCGTCGAATTCCTCGGTCCAGTTGCCGAACGTGGGCCAGGGTGTGCTTTGCGCAGCGGTAAGAGTAGCGAAAATCACGACGACTATGGACAACATATTGAAATCGGAGGAAGGATGTGTGCATCTGAATTCTAGTTGTTTCGATCAAGACTGAAACTTCATGACTGGGCGATTGCTATTATGAAGCAAAGTAGCCGGCGGCGCTCATATGCTTGACGCCGTAAACTGTCCAATCGCTCACGATACTTGCCGTGGGCTTCACAACGGTTCTTCATTGTCATTGCATAGAACAAAGTTTGAAAGAACGAGTAGTTACACGATGCAAACTCCTATAGATATGAGCTCCCCCAAACATCTATTGTGTCTACCAAGCTAGGCAATAGATGAGAAAGAAGTATTGTTAGCTGGTGCTCCCGCCTCGCGCCTCTCGATGGATTCCAGAGAGCAAACAGGGCGCGGGGCTTTTCGGTAAAGGGAATGAGACAGGCACTAAGAGCCTCGAGATGAAAGGAAGTTTGCGCGGAAGCCCGAGCAGGGCCGACTGCCAATGGGACAATACTGCTCAAGTTTCACCGCCGATCTGGTCGGTGCTACGAGGCGTTGTAACACAAGCGAGTCTCTGCAAGCCCTCGGGGACCCCAAAGTCTGGACCGTTGGCAGAATAAAGATGTCTTGCGCGCCAAGGCGTCTATGGTCGCGATGTTGACGTGCTATTGGCATGCATCAATGTGGAATGGTCCCTTGTCTATCGGCTCGAAGGAATGCAATCTACCCTTTGATATCCTTCCAGCTCACACGTGTCAAGGTGCTGGTTACATTTACCAAAAAGAATGGGTGTGGAGGGTGTCTTTCCAAGAGAAAGACTCTCGCTTACATCGCTAGGGGAGGGCTACGCTGGTCCATTGCCATGGTCGAAAAGCCTCTTGCCCGGGGCAAACAAGACTCAGGAGTGGTGTTCATTGTTCTAATTATGTACGTACGTGCATACATACCTCGATGTCTGCAACACATACTAATGACATGAATCCGTAATTGTCAAGTGATATCGAATGATTTTGATCAACAGCTAAACACACATCAGATATGGCAACATGTCACGTCTTCGTTGTTGGTACATATCGAGGCAGTGCTCTGTTTACTGCAGCTTTGATGCGACGTCGAGACTCGCGCAGCCTCTTGGCTTCACCCCGACCGGTAGCGTTCGGCTCTCTCATAGATTCGTCCCCTTCTCTGACCTCCGTTCTATCTTGCCAAGGGACGACTCATTGCTCATCAGTGATTTGGAAGAATTGCTCAAAGTGCAATGACACGTTCCCCAACCTTGCTACCCCTTCACGCTGATTTGAAGCATTTTCAGCCTATCCGATCCAGTCACCAAGTAGGTCGGGCAGTTGTTCTAGATCCCACTCTCACCGGTCGGAGATCTACCGAAATCGAGACTTCTGAGCTTCGAATGCTCTCGCTGTTTCATCCAGCCATTATCACTTCTCATATCGCGCTAGTTGGTGTCGCTAGCTGGTGCCGCTAGTTCCCGTGAGACCTGTTACCATGGAGCATCATCTCCAATTCGTTTCGCTCGATTGTCACAGGCGCATCTCGCCATCGAAATCAGCTCATTCTAGAAAAAGGTGATTCTGATCTCATGGTTATGAATTACCCCTGTCATTTGACTCCAAAGATAAGTGTACCGTCTACCTGGATCCTACTTTAACCGTCTCACCGACTCCACGTCTTCGGATCCAGGTCCGGTGGCCTGCTTCGAAAGGCAGCGCCCCGAAGCCACCTTATACGAGGGAAGAAGAAAAAAGCAATGTGAAGCTATCAAAGTTGTCCAATCGTCGCCGACCAAAGTATTCTTTCGGCCCTTTCTAGCCGTGTCTCCCAAGACTTGGGTGCAGAACGTGGCAGGGTTTTGGCCACGTTCTATGCCGGTCACACCAATCCTTACGGGGGGATATAGCTAGGTGCCATGAGTGATAAGAATCCTTGGGGGAGCTTCGCGTAGTTGGAGTTCTAGACCGCTCTGAGTCTCGTCACCATGATGTGACCTATCTACGTGCACCAAGGCGGTAGATTGTTCTTGCAACAATCACGCAAGAAACGAGGTGACGGTACTATGGACATCATGTATCAACTGAGCGGGGATCTCGGGCCCGGAATATCAATTCGCATTATTCCCCGTCATAGACTAGACATTTTGCCCGGTATGAAGATAATTATCGCTTCTCGGCCTCTGCCGATTTCGAGAATGCATGACCTCAATCATTACCGAGCAAAATTCAATGGTTCACCGGACACCGCTGTAGATGACGACAGGTTACGAGAGTAATACTATCAAGAGAAGGTACTCAGAGGCATTGGGTATTCAGAATTTTTCATGTTCAGAGTACGGAGTCGAGAACTTGTGCTGTTCTTCCACGAGTGTGGTAGAATCGATGTCTGCACAACATTGAATTGCGTGAAAACACCATCGAGACCTGGCGACTGTAGAACTCGAGTCATTACCATCGTGGGATTAAAATACCTGCATTGCAGGAAGCATGTGTTTTGGCGTCTGCCACATTGAACTAGCGGTAAACCAACCCCGCGAATCAACGTGCTAGAGACGGCACTAAGGCGCCGGTTGCGATCGTCGTCCGGCCAGTAGGCGGGCTTACATATAAGTGGCGATCCCGCTGGACGTGATCATCGGCCTCTTTGTTCGCCAAGCGCTGATGAAACACCGTTCATCAATTCCCGGCAACTTCACACACTCATCAGTTTCTGTCAACATGGCCATCACTGTTGATGTTGAAGCGACGATGGGAGCCCAGACGTTTGGCACGGCCGTCTACTCCCTCGAAATACCAAGTATCTACTTTGGCATCACAATTGGTCTCACAATACTCATTGCAGTAAAAGCCTCACAGCAGACAGTTTCTATCTACATGAAAACGAACTCATTCTTCAACCTTTATGTGTGGATGTGAGTATCACTTCGTTATTTTCAAGTCAAATTCGTTGCAGCGATCGCCAGTGATAACAGTTGAAAGGATATGGGTCCTACTTATTGCCAATCTGCTCCAAGCCATCATCAACTGGCTGTTCATTCGAGGTGATCTGTTAGGAACGTAAGACACTGACATCGATCCACAAGGATCAGGATAAAGTAGCTGACCCTTGAGTCTAGCTTTGGCTTCTTCTTTGGAAGTTGCATTTTATGGACGTTGCAGACGCAGCTAGCCCTCCAAATCATCGCAAATCGCCTGGGCCTCGTCATAATTGACAAAAGCAGAGTGAAAGTCATGAAGATCTCCTTGCTCGTCATAGTCGGCATCATCAATATCTCGGTTGCCTGCATATGGATCCCAGCGCGCTTGACACAAAAGGAACCATTTGTGCGCATCAATGAGATCTGGGATCGCATGGAAAAGATCATCTATCTAATCGTGGATCTTACTCTGAATGCAATTTTCCTCCGCAAAGTGCGACGGGAATTGATTGCCGGAGGTCTCACAAAGTATTGGCTATTGTTCAACTGCAATGTCGCAGCCGTTTCAGTCTCTTTGTCCATGGATGTGAGTTCATCTCTTCGATTCTTGCATGTGTATCCGTGCTGAAAGCTGCATCAGATTCTCATCATCGTTATGATGTCTCTTCCCAACCCTTTTCTTTACGCCATTACTCATCCAGTCGCATACAGTGTCAAACTTGTGATTGAGATGCTGATGGCGGATCTGATCTCAACTATCGCCCGACAACCACACCAGCTTCTTAGCCGCTCGGATGTTTAACGGATAATTTGCAACGAGGATACCATGAAGACTTCAAGAAACATTGCTATGGGAATTAGGACCATAGTGATTGAAGTGTTGGAGGTTTTACGTATAAAGCGAAATACTTACGAAATGTTTTAGTTTTATAGCATATCTTGTTTTCTTCACGTTACAGATTCCCTGCGTGAATGCCATAAACGTCATATTGATCTATGTTTCAACATCAATTGCCTCCGTATAGTATTTTAAGGGGAATAAGCCGATACTCGGCGGGGCCCCTGGGCGACAGCAACGATCATAAAAACGAACATGAAGACGACCACAATGACGACTACAAAGACGAAAAGAAGACGACTATCAGGTTATTACCCCTAGTGCTGAGTTCTCAGCCGTCCCATGGGCGCTTTGCTGGGTACAGGACAGAGCGAGATTGCCTTTCCCACTCAAATCCAGAGTCTAGCATATCGTAGAGAGAACAAAAAAAAATCACAGCTTACAAGCATCCAGCTCGAGTCCTCATCCTCTTGATCATGTTTACCGCTGCCTGTGTCATGGCCTTCATCATCTGAGGAGTGACGAGCAAATGGCCGGCAATCAACGGCCTTGATGTAGAGGCTGTTGATGGCGGGCTTCCCGGTCTGCGCTTCGAAAGATCTTAAATAGTCATCGTCGACAATGAGGCAGTAACCGAAACGACTGTGGTCGCGTTTTCCAACAATCGGAATTTCTTGCTCAGGGTCGGCACTTTGAGATAGACCTTCAGCCCAAAATTTGGAACCGCAGCATGACATTCCAGATCGACATGCCGTCGAGTTCTGGGTCTTCGATTATTGACAGGCGATGGTAGGGCCGAATATAGGTAGCGTTTGCATTGTATGATATGTCTCCCAGCATGCATTCGCGTAAATATGTGATGTAGCGCTCCCATAAGGCCTGGTCGCGGTAGGTTGTCCAGTAAAATAGAAGCCCCAAACATAAAGTTGATCGGGCCGATGTCGGATGTGCCGGGTGACGCTGGGAGGATGTAGCACGACGGTAGTTGAAAGTGGTGGGATCTCCATTTTGTGTATTGAAGACCTACGAACCGAAGAGAGAGTAATTTTGTTGAGGAAGAGTTAAGGAATGGTAAATGGCTGCAAAAGGTCTAATAATACCAAGTAGAGGCTCAGGATTCGACGACTACAGATAGGCATCAGGTCCTTTCCGAAAGCCTCGGCACTTACCTCGGTGGGATTCGCGGCATATCTACCTCAACGGCTTACCTTTTCCATCGAAGAAATAACCTTGTTGGGCAGATACCTGGCAAGCTTTAATGGCCAATTTCAGTTGCAACGTACTGGCTGGGTGTGAAGACCATGGTGCGACTTTGGCCTCTCTACCTTGAGAGAACCCGATGACACTTCCTGAACAGAAGAGCCTCTGCAAGAAGAATAATGCGGCAATGTGGGGATCTTTCCCCATAGGAATGTCAACTGGAGATCTCACCACTCAGAGGCACGTGAACGAAGAAGGGGGGGAAGTTATTTGATAACATAAAAGTCACTCGTAAGGGTTTGAAGTCTTTCGCCTCTCTTGGTTTAGCCAGCATTACACTTTCCAAGTGTCATGATCCTTCCCGTAGAGGTTCATGATCAACCTTTCACAATGCGCGAATTGACTTCACGGTGGCATTCAAGGGACAAAAGAAGAACTATGCGCCATTGGAATGGTAAATGCAAGCGTACTAAGGAGTTTCGTTGAGGCCTTTTGGAAGGTAGTGTAGTCTACTCCACTGCTGGCCACATGCCGTTTCAGAATGTAGGAGTGTCACAGTACAGAAATTTCCGGTATATGAAGGACTTCCCAATTGTCCGCGTGCGATGGATCACCAAACGGCTTCAACAGCGCAAAGCGAAGCCTGAATGAGTTAGCTCGGGGTTAGACAGGTTCTGGAAATAGAATGTCACGTACGTGTAATTGCCAACAGCGATTTGGCTTCCGTTGCCGAGTTTTCCGAACCACCAGTGCTCATCCTGTTCGTAAGCACCATTTCGGTTGCGATCCATGATCGGATACGTAAATGTCTCATTCGGGTCGTAAATACTGGTGTCGATGGCCTCTACCCTGCCGGACCCAACCCAGGAGGCGATGGTACCAATGTGGCCATTTTCTCCGGGCACTGGGGGATACTTCCACTCTCGTTCCGTCCATCCCGCCTCGAAAACCTAGTACGCAGATTAGTCTGATGAACATGATACTTCTAGCACCTTGACTAGTCGTGACGTACATCCCAACGAGTCTCCTTGATGCCGTAAATCGGTTTGCTAATGACCCTTGGGAAATCTTGAGCCGCCAGGCTAAGGTTGAAAGTAAAGCTGGACGGGATCAACATCGCTGCGCATTTAGTTGTAGGTAACTGACTCACTATGGCTTGCTAGCGACTGGAGTGTTCGAAGTTGTTGATATCAAGAAAGCGTAATTGGTTTCCTCCAACGGCGTGACCTCCTTGCGAAGGTCACCACCGAGACCTGATCAGCCAGTCAGCGGAATGAAGAGTCGAAAGTCCTCAAAAATACGAACCCAGATATGGGACAGAGAGAAACTCTCCATTGCTGCCAGAGATGAGAACACGACCGCTGTACAGGGGGAGTCCAGACGCGTTCCAGCCAAGGGTGTCTGGGTTCTTGAAGTTCACTCTGGATGAAGTATCAGCGCAAGCCGCTATAAAACAGTTCCGGAACTTACGAGACTGTCTTGCTTTCTCCAGATTGCAACGTGAATTCCGCGGGGAAGCTGACTTCTGGCGCGCGCGTCTCGGGGATCATGTCAAAGAACTCCTTGACCCTCTTGGTTCCAGGAGCAGGGTTGGCGATAACCCGGTCAGCTGCGTACCACCCAAGGATGTCGGCCGAGACGATGTCCTCCGCAGAAAACTTGTAGGTCACTGCCTCTTCGTCATTGTTGGTGACGGAAATCTCATGGTACCGGTTGAAGTAGCGGGTGTCGTTCAGTGCAATCTTCTCATAGTCGATCACGGTCTTGTACTTGAGCACCTTGAAAGCATCGACCAAGCCGTTTCCGACTTGAGCGACACTAGCAGAGTGGCCGTAGTCGGTCTCGGTCAGACCATCAGCCCAAGGAACACTGATGCCGCTGGAAATGATACGCTTGCCTAGGTCTTTTGCCCAGGCATTTCCACTAGGGTGCGTGTTACGCCCGCCGTAGACGGAGACGTACAGTGCGGCCACCCCGGCAATGTACGGTGCAGCCATGGAAGTGCCGCTCTGAATGGTGTATGAGTCGTCGATCCATGTACTGTAGATCTTGCCTCCTGGTGCAGCAATGTCGGGCTTGATCTGAAGATCGTACAATGGCCCGATGTTGGTGAAATAATTCGGATCACCGCCGAGGGAGTATGTCAGCGCGACCGGAAGTCCGTGGTTGACAGAGAAATCTGCTGTGACGTTGCGGCCAGCCTTGATTGCTTCGACGATCTGCTTTCCTGCAAAACTGGTCATGAACCCAACGGTGCTGTTCGTGTTCCCAATCACGGGGTAGCTGAGCGGGCGGTCGTCATTGTAAACTAAAACAAGCGTACCACCGACAGGAGCTAGATTCTCTTGCTGCGTGTGGATGTCGCAGGACACGGCGCCACCACGTCTGACGAGCACAATTTTGCCTGTAAAGTCCAGAGAGCCAGGCTCAAGCGGCTCGCAGGCATCAGTCGTGGCGTTGGTATCGAGAGAGAATGGAACGATTGGGACATCCACGACTGTCGCGGGGAAGGGATCGTAGCTAATGGGAGGTATGAATCCATATCTCGCCGTCTCTTCGCTACCCCCATTGACTCCGGAGAAGGTGGCGTCGAACGGGAAAGCAGGGAACGTCTGAGAGTCAACTGAGGCTACAGCAAGCACATTTTTGCCAGTCGCGCCGGTGCTGCTCAGGAACGGTCCGACTGTGCCAACGTTGCCGGACGCGACAACGGTGACGATGCCTTCGTCTACGAATCGAGATGCAATGACCGACCAGACCTCTGTGGCCCACCCGATATTGGAGCCGACGCTGGCTGTTATGATATCCACCTGGTCCAAAGGTTAGCGACACTGTAACAGGTACTGTAGTTCTGACAGGGTCAGCGCTTACTCCATCGTCATAGGCGCGGAAAAACGCTTCAAGAATCGTCGCAGTGTCTGTGAAACCCTAGGCGTGATTTTCAAGCATTAGCCTTGTGGGCTGCATCTTCATCAAGTTGTCGAAGTGCTAATGCGACTCACGTATTGCGAAAAGATCTTGTAGGCGTAAAGCGTTGCCTCGGGCGCAACTCCGGACCATCTTGTGGCAAGCTCGTCAGATAGTGACAACAATCGAGATGGGTACCTGACTTACCCAGCACTTTTAGCTGCGACGATTCCCGCAACATGGGAGCCGTGGCCCTGTTGATCGAGGGGGTCCTCATCAGGTTGCTTTTCGCCCTCATACGGCCATACTTGATAGCGCCGCGGTTAGCGACAAGAAAAGAAACGGAAATCCCTATGCCACTTACATCCATCACCGGCGAAATCATAGCCTCCTTCGACTTTGAATCCAGGTCCAAAGCCATTGCCGAGCTGAAAGGATGAGGAGTCATAAGCGTGGGATGCGGACAGGGTGCTCTCCTTCAGTAAGACTTACGTCGGGGTGTTTGTACCATATGCCAGTATCAACAACGCCAACCTTGGCCCCCTTTCCAAAGATACCCTGTGCGTGTAACTTGGAGACACCAGTAGCATTGTGCGTCGTGTACGCTACATCCTCGCCCTGGATCAAACGCTTGCTTTCCACAGGGTCGAGCTTGACTGCCGCGTTTGGCCAAACATTCACGACGTCAGGAAGGCTCAACAAAGAGTCGAGAGTGTGGCTCTCCGTCTCGACACTTGCACCAGTAAAGACCTTGTTGTCAAAGGTCTTGACGACTTTGACACCATCGGTCGACGCGAGACCGTCTCGGCGTTGAGTTGAGCCCTGGTAACGCTGGTCAACAGCAAGCTCATTGGGGAAACACAGAACGCATGCTCACTGGCGCGAATTCCACGATGAAACTCTTCGAGATGGGCCGATTGTTGTCTCCGAAATCGACAGTCTCGCGACTTTCCAACGCGGAGTCACTCCCTGCTTTGACAAGCGGGAGTGCAAGGGCGAACGCAAACAGCCGCATTGTGGTCTAGACGCCGCGCGAGCAGGCGTTCAGGAAAGGACAAAAGCTCGGTGCTCTCATCTGTGTCACGCCCTTCAAGCCCGTGCTTTCCTCACCTTGATATAAGTGCAGACATCTCTGGTTTCTCTACTCCTCGTAAATACGCGGAGTGGTGGTCATTTCAGTCCATTGTTGATCTCAAGGTCCGAGGAAGATAATGCTCGTTTTCGGACGCATTTTGCGCAATAATCACGAAAGTCCCCTGTTCAGACTACATTTACGAGGTTACAGTGCATCACAAGGCACTGCGTGCCTGGATTGAGGTCGCAATGCCGTTGCCAAGATGTGATAATGAACGACCAAAGACCTGATCACGCGAGATGAGATGAACCACCCCTAGGTATTTATCATAACCCATGCCGACGCGACTCGGTCGCGTGCTTGACAGATCACGGGACGGCCTATGGTAAGGGAGTTTGACATTAACTGTTAATTGATCGCGTGCTGGATCCCGGCTCAGTGCTGATCCACCTTCCTCGTTCAGCTTCTTGGCACCCGCGGGAACGGATAACTCTGGCCTTATCACCGAGGGTTCAGTGCCTCTGAGGAACCTTATTTCAATTGGACTGTGTGTGCGAAACCCGAGCATTGCCTTATTGTGCTTACTACTCCATTCGTGAGTTGGTTTTGAGCAATTGCTTTATGGCGATTGGTGGGCTAGATAAGGTAAATTGGTCTACGAAGGGTTACATTGTGGCGAATCTTATTCAAGATGAACGATTGTGTTTTATCTTTCCCGGTGGGATGGGCGATAGCGCCCACTGTGCGAGTATCTTCAGTCTCATATCTTCCCTACTTGTGCTCTCAAATGAATTCACGGCGTTATGTTGAGACTTTGCCTGTGAATGCGACAGCCCATTGAGCCGCGGTCGGACACCGTACCCCGTACCCTACCTCGCCTCTGCAATGGTTATCTGGCTGGAGGGTTCAAGCCGCAACGCTTGAGGATACCGCAGCCGTTGACGGTTCTGAGGCCTGGGGGCGTAGCTCGATTGGCGCGTCGGAGTTTGCCTGGGGTCCCGGGTTTGGGTGCCGAGCCCGCGGAGCACAAAGCGACCCCATCAAGTTGGTGAATACCGGGCGTCTGAACTCACTTTGTATACTTTCAAGTGATCGCCCGCGAGTTTCGGGCATGAACACAGTCAGAACAACCGCCGTGATGACAGTCAGGCCCCCGAAGAGGAAGTAGGCGCCATACGCTGAAGCAGATAACAGGATCGGAGTGATGAGAGCCACTAGCCAATTTGTGAACTAAGTACGCCATGTCAGTAACGTCAAAACTGAAAAAGAGGAGCAGCACTCACAAATGAAGACGCCATGCCAATCGAGTTTCCTGCGGCTCTGGTGTTGCCAGGTAGAATCTCGCTGGCGTAGATCTTTCCGACGACATTCCAGGTGGCGCAGTAGGCCATGCCGAATGCGAAGACTGAAATTACGACAACCCAACGAGCAGCTCCTGTAGGTCCCACCGCCCCAGCTGCGTAAAGGCTTCCCATAAGCATCATAAGTCCAGAAAGGATTATTCCACCGCTGATTGCCGATGTTCGTCTTCCCCATTTATCGGCTAGGATAGAAGCCGGGATAGACACGACCAGCATCGTGATGGAGGAAACCCCGGATGCGATCAGCGAGGAGTTGGACTGTGAGATGCCAGCCTGGTCGAACAATGCGGGCGCGTACTATCTTGGTCAGTCTCTTTGTCAGAGATATAGAACAACTAGGGTATCATACATAGGTGATTGCATCGATCCCTGATAATTGGATCATCGATAGGATAAAGAGCGCCAACAAAGTCCTCGACCGGTACGGCCCACGGAAAGGCAAAAGAAAGTTCTGCCTCGTGGAAAGACTAGGCTGTTCTTGCGGTGTGTTGAGAAAGTCTCGCCGAGCCTCGTCCATGTCGAAGTCAAGCAACTCAAGAGCCGTCACCGCCTCTTGCGTCGTGCCCCAAAGCAGTAGCCATCGTGGTGACTCAGGTAGAACTCGGCAGACAAGAGCAAGCATGATGGATACTGAGATCTGAACCACGTACGGGAGACGCCACGCGGTGCTGTCTTCAATCGAGCTGGTTGTGTAGCAAGAGAAGTATCCGATACAGATCCCGAGAGTTGACATGAATTGCGGCAAAGCGGCCAGTCGACCTCTCCGGCGGGAGGGAGCTATCTCTGCGAGATAGACGGCGATGTTGCCGAGGAAAATGCCCTGGCCAACGCCGCTGACTGCTCGACCTAGGATGAACTGGCCCAAGCTAAAAGATGTCGTTTGCAGGAGTCCGCCAAGGGCGAAGAGCGCGGCGCCGGGTGATATGATACGCAGTCGTCCGTACTTATCTGCCAGCTGACCGGCGAGCAGTGAGGGGATGATGCCCGTCAATAAGATCATTGAAACTGTGATCCCTCGAACGGTCGCGGACAGATGTCCGAATGTTATCGTGAACTGTTCCATGTGTACTACTGAGCCGATGGTACCTGTGTCATAGCCATTAAGGAAACCTCCAAACGATAGGGCGATGGTCGCCGTCACGTAGTTCGGCATCAGTTTCGCAAAATGCGGCATGTTGACACGTTGGAAAATGACTACTTTTCAAAGGACTCAAGGTAATTGTGTCGAAGTAGCAATACAACTCGCTGATGCAGTGTGTAGTTGGGAAGTCAAAGCCGATGGTGGTTACAACCCCGCAGTAGTTACGCGCATGTCATCTCACCCGTCGATCACTTCTGCGCCCGTCAAGGAACTTCATCACGTGCGTGAGATGATAACAGCCACGCTCTTTGTTCGAGTACTTAATTCTGTTCTTTCGGGTGTGATTACATTCAATCAGACGTATTTGCGGGCCAAAAAGTATGATTTAACAGCGCTGCCTATTTTATCACAACTTTAACCTCAATTCAACTTGTCAAAAATGGTGGAACAGAAATCCAAGTCATCGAGCGCTGTGGGTTTTTGTTTGGAGCCATCAAGCAAAGTGCAATCGGTGATATTCATTGTTTGAAACATCTACATTAAGATCAAGACTGCGTTCACTGCCACTGATCACAAGACATTGGTACTCCAATCGGCGTGTATGCATAACGATGTCGAGATATTTCGTGAACTTCTTCTTCTTTGTCATACAGTATCACGTGAAAGACCACGTGACTCAATCTGCGTCAATCGAGATAAACAGGCATTATTGGCTGTGTATTACAGCCATTTACATAGGTGTGATGTTGGCCTCAGATAGTTCTACTCTCGACATGACTACTGATACGTAGCCGAAATCGTGACAATTCTTGACCCCTTGTGCTCATTGCGAATCCTCATATTTCACCGTCAAAAGTCGGCACGCATACGGCATGATTTACTGTTCTGCATTTCGAACTTCACTTGGAATGACATTTGCTCTTCGAGCGCGGATACTTTCTCTTTATGTTTTATCACTTTTATCATGAATCCTTCTTCGCATTGGAATATGTGAAAGCGGACGACGGCATTCCGCATCGTCCGGTCGGGATTGCCTCAGAAAAAGGAAAGCGGGGACCCAAAGCACAGAAATTTCGGCGAAAAGCCGAACAAGTAACCGGTAGCTTGGTCTGGGCTTCGGAAAGTCCGGCCGAGATGTTTTGACAGATTCGGGCCCGGCAGCGGGCCGGACCAAGAGGCAGAAAAAAGGTCCCTTTCATGAAGTTCCTTGAGTCGTGGCAGTTTCTCCTCCGCCGATCACTTGCATCCGGCGGGCGCCGTACACGTGTGAAGAGAACAATGTTTTGACTTTTGACAGCGCGTGCGACATCTCCCGCGGTAAGACCTTCTTCATTAAACTGTATTATTTTCCGTGAGCTTATTCAGCGTTTGCATTGGACTCTCGGTGGCCAATGCTACCCCCGTCGGTGCCCGCGGGCGGGGAACAACTGACTCGGCCTCACAACAGATCAGCGCTGTGTGGTCAGCTTGACTAATTCGACTTCATTGTATGAAAGTAGATGGTTAGAAGGCTGGAAAGAGGCCGAGGATGCTCTTTGAAAAGGTGTGAGGCTGTCGTGCTTTATAACATGTTCGGCGAACAACAGTGAGGTTGCAGCGACCATTTTTGATCGAGCCTCTTCCATCGGAGACGCGTCCCAGTTGGTGTCGGATGTGGTGCTTGAAAGGGGAAGGTCGATGACACCAACCCCAGCAGATCCATTAGACGCAGGACCCTTGACTCTGTAGCCCGAGAGGCATCCCACTCCCCCCTTTGGCTGTCCTGGATGAAAGCATGCCCAATGGAACCAGACCAAGATTGAGGGACAGAAGGTAGCACGTACATTGCATGTGCCGCGCGTGCCAGCCCTCCCACAGGCGCGAGAATAATTCCGGCCGACATCATGGCAAGGGAACGTCTAATCACTGGACCACCTCATTTTGACCCGAACGTGGGGTTCTCCAGTTTCCTATACGAATACCGAATGCTCGTCGTGACAAACAGGAACTTCTGCCCAAATCTAGTGGAGATGACTTCACTTTTAGCGACCCAAACTTCTGGACACTGACCCCAGCACTGTCAGCTTTCATTCACCGCTAGGAAGAGTCAGACAACCTGTCAAAGTCACAAAGATTGTACGCAAGGAACATTAATCGTCGGAGCTCGGAACACGGTCGAAATATTTCAAGTCATCTTCATGTGATTGTCTGTCATGATTCAGTGACGCTGCTCGGGATAGCCCCAGATTCAAAGGCGAAGTCCAAGTCTCGACCACTTGAGGCTTCACCTGAGAACCCACGACGAAGGGTACCTACCCGTACGGATATCCTCAGCGTATGCGAATACGGTTACAGTCTCAGCCTTGGTAGGTAAGGGGAATGGATTCGATAACAGACCCGCAAGCAATGTCACATCGTCGAGTGCAAGTTGTGAGGTAACACTCCGTAATACAACCATCATTATTCACGGATCTCACTTTGAACGGTATTCAGTGATGCTTAAATAACTTTAACGCTTGAATATGAGATCTATCCATAATTCTATTCCCAGTTCTATACACAAAACAAGACAAAGAACAAGCATAACTCGCAAAGAAGATGTACGGGATGTGGTATCAAGGACAAGGGTGTATTGGCATTATATCGTGCGTATCCTCGGTGGTTCTAAGAGAAGACCTCCAAAACTCCTATCCGTTCCAGACGTCCCTGAGATTTGATGGGCTCTCTCGCAAAGTTGGCAGATGGTTTCTCGGCAGGTCCTAGGGGTATCGATGGCCGCACGAGCGTTGGTGGCAGCGGGCTGAGCCGTGGCAATGTTACGAGCCACTTATTTGTGCTCACCCTGGCCGATGCAGTAAGGGACGGGGTAGGTGGTGCTGTTGCAAAGGCGGATGACACCCTTGACCCAGGCAAGGTTGCCGTAGGACTGGTCAGCGTAGCTGTCGGAGGTGAAGGCATCGACGGTGGGGCTGTCGGTGCATCCAGAGAAGATGTTGCCAGTGACGCGGCGGACGTTGGGCTGGGAGACGACGAGGCCGTACTGGCCGTCGGGGACGGTGAAACGGAGGTTCTGGGACTGGGTGGTGGTCCAGGTCCTTGCGTAGCTGACGGACAGAGAGACGCCGAGGGCGATCTTGGCAATGGTGGTGGAGAGACCAGCGGTGACGGAAACGGAGTTGGCCAGGGAGTAGCCGCTGTCGACAGAGACGGCGACGTCGTTGCCAGCAGCAGTGACGACGGGGGAGACAGCAATGTCCCAGTTGAGGAATTCCTCGTCGGTCAGGACCTGGACTTCGGTGGACTCTTTGCAGCCGCGGCGGGAGAGGACGTCGTCGAGGGCGGGGGCGGGAGCAACGGGAAGGGCGGCACGGCGCTCAAGAGCGTCGTACTCGGAAGCCTTCATGACAGTGTGGGTGCCGTCCTCACCAACAACGATGACATCGTCGAAGTTGAGGGGGGCGGGGCCAGGAGCCGGAGCGGCTACAGCAGCGCCAATGAGGCCGGCAGCGGTAAGAACGGAGAAACGCATCTTGATGGTTGTTGGTAGTTGGTTGAAAAGAGTGGAAAGTGGGTGGTTGTTCTTTGCAAAAGAGCGACTTTGGAAAGTAAAGACTGAAGAGTTGCTGAGTGACTCGTTGAGAAAAGAATGTGGGGAAGGAAGTGTATTGGAGAATAGACTGATGATGCAAGTAGAAGATATTCCGAATCTCTGGGTGGGAAGAAGGTGTTCTTATACAATGTTGGTGTCAAGATGTTTAAGCTTGTGGATGATACAATGTTCCCCAGTTACCAACTTAGACTTTGGACTTTCGCTCTCGGATGTTCGCAAGACGGCTTCTGCGTCTGTCAAGCCGCTCGCCCATGCCCATGACTCTCCATGGCATCCACGGGGAAGCGCACATGCGCGCGCTCGCCAGGCCGAAGGGGTTGGAATGGATATCGTTGCCAAGAATCCCTACGGGGCTGCCGGCATGACCACCATGACACCAGAGCGTGGTGATCGGGCCAGCCGGTCAGGGCTCGATAGGTTCGACATAATCAAAATCCCATTTGAGAGGACTTGTTATCATCAACCTGAACAATATGACTGAAGCAGGCCCAGCGACAGTACGACCATGCGCTGACTCGGATCGTGGCAGGGCGGCGATCGGTGAGGTCCCGTTGTGGGGGAGAGCGTGCGGATGGGATGCTGGGCAAAGAGGCTAAGAGAGTTGGATATCAGATGGCCTGGGCTAATGTTGGAAAATGGGACGAACACCAACAAGGCAAAGGTAGGGCGTAGCAGTTTCACATTGAGATGGTAGACGCCGGATCCGGGTAGCGGATGGTGTTGTGCGCGTGGAGTAATGTGCGGCTCTGGGGTTGTATCGCGTAGTCATCTGATCCATTGGACTCGCGGGAGCGGCTACGAGTCAGTCAACAACCGCAAGTGGTCCCGACTCACCGTTTCATGCAACGCCATCCATAACCCCCTACATAGCCTAATGCAGAAGGCGGCTGGAGATTATTTGCTCATGCGCGTCTTCTCCCCTGTAGAAACCCCATAGAGTCCACCCTACTGCCAAGATGCCCGTGTTAGACGCAGATGGCTACACTTGAACTCAATCAGCCCAGCTAGCAAGGACTCAAAGACGTTCAAGCTCCAAAGGGCTGAGGTTAACCCTGGGAGTTTCCTCTTTAGAACACACATTAAGTTTGATGACGGATGGTCTACAGAAAGAGCCCTGCTGGATTGCTGCACCGCCTTGAGGGGCGCCCAGAGGTCACATTCATCCACACGGTGAGTCCGCTCCTCAATGATGATCAAACTCCTATTGCGGGCCACGAGTCCGACGGAACTTGGAGACGAGCGCGCGCCGACAAAGGCGCGCGGATGTGGGACTTCGGCCTGCCTCATAGTGGGATCATGGATGATGGTCCTTGTCTCTTTGCCGAACGTGTTGGTCAGAGCATGACCTTGGTTATCCGAATGCGATAGATTGTCTATTGGGAAACATGGCAAGGCCGTGACTCGTTGTAAATTACCTTCGATGTTGCGACCGTGGATATAAACCTCCATAGGTTCCTCCCCGATATCATGAAGTTTATCTCCATCCTCATCAAACTCCACACATTCTTTTCTTCGGTCCAGATCCAGTAATCTACCAACTCCGTTCATTCTTTTCACAAACACCTCTGTTACAGTCACTACCTTACCAACTACCCAACAAACAACCCACCCAAACCGCCAAAATGCATTTCTCCATCGCCAAGGTTGCTTCTCTCTTCGTCCTCCTCTCGGTTGCGTAAGTCTCAGTCTAGCTACCTTCGATACTTTGGAGCTTCCTACTAACACCGAACTAGTTCTGCCGATCTTCACGACAACTGCGCCTGTGACAACGGTGACAGCTACAACTGGCGCATCACCACCAAGGCTTGCGAGCTTTACGCCTCCAAGAACTACCAGTGGGGCAAGGGTACCTACAACACCGAGACTGGACGTGTAAGTTTACCCCACTCAACACATTCAGAAAGACTGTGGTACTGACTTCAGTCAAATAGTGCGTCCAGAACTCCGCCAGCGACCAGCTCGCCGGTAAGGAGTGGGAGGCTGCTTGCCGCGAGATCGCCAGCACTGGCTTCGACTGCGCTGACGGCAAGGGCCTGTACTGCAAGGCCAACCCCGACGACGTTCGCGGCCGCTGCTAAGCGTCTCTCGCTTAGAGATATCCTGGGGGGCCCAAAGATTCGGGAAAGCCATCCTCTCCTCCTTCACACTAGCAAGGCCAGCCTGTTCATAAGGCTGGATGAAAACAGCCCATTCATCATGCACTCCACACCCACCATCCTTAGCCGGCTCTCTGGATCGTGGTGCCTACGAGGAGAATGAAACACAAGAGGCTGCCTTGATCTGGGGAGGTGGCTTTACAACATCGGTAGTGGGAATTTTGGTCCGTTTAGTTTTTCACGAAATTCGAGGCGTTGCTGGTGTTTCGTATCAATACCTATAGATGTGTGGCATTGCGAGTCCTAAATATGATCGTCGCTCTCTGAGCATCTTTCATAAATCAAACAAATAGATCTGCTATGTTTTGCAATTACCTCGAAGTCCACCTTCCACATATTTCAGTTATTCGATATACATTTCTTTTGGTATCGAATGAAAATGCAAACAAACCGCAAAACTTGAGCCTTCGGCCACATAACAATGACCGACAGTAGATTTCGATCTGGGGACATATAGCTATAGCAATAATCTTACAACATAATTGCCATCATTCGGCACATACTTAGGTTGCCTTGTGCACTTCCCAGCTAAGACTGATGCTCAGAGACCGCAGTACTGTCCAGAGTCACAGGCTCTCCCAGTTGCTTGAAGAAAGCCCTACTAGAGCCTAGCTCGCATTGTTGGACTCGTGTATCTGAACTGATACCGTGACATTCCGCTCGCGGGGCTGCCGATGACCTGCGCCTCTATTTTCGACATACCGCTTGCAACCATCCACCTTAGCAGCTCGCTTCAGACCACGCTATCGTCAAACGACAAAACGACCCGCACCAATAGCCAGGTATCGAGCCAAGGATTGCTCGCTTCTTCAGATACGTTGAGATACCAGACTCTCATCTGTACTCGGTCAAATCCGGATTGCGGTGCAATTGTGTAAATTGAAAATGTGGATGATGGCTTTCTTCGTTGCCTATTCGTGAGAAAATGGGAAGGTTGACACGCCGAAACCAATGCGATTCTAGAACAAATGTCGTGATGAGCAGCACGTCAACTGGCGTGGAAGTCCCAGCATGCTTTTGGCCAAACTCTAATTAAGGGGACAAATTCGGTAGCATCCGCGCCCGATTCGGGATGGGGGATGATGGAGACGACATGGGCCCTCGTGGGACTCTTCGTGGGACTGCGTGGCCGTGACTGGGGTCTACCTTGACATGACTCTCCAGCAACCAGAAAACCTGCAAGAGTCCTGGTTCTCTCCTGCAGAGTCAACAAGTCTAACGTTCCAGATTTATTTCTGGCCTGCAACGTCACCCCCCTGAACTTCCTCAATGAAGAATCCCCTTTCTTGGCATCCCAACACGTGCCCGCTCTTATTCGATCATATTTATCACATCATTGATTGCCATCTGTCTATTCTCTTTGTGCTCGGATACCGCGGAATGATGTTTGCTGGATGATCGTTGTCTTGCATACTCTGAAGGTGGGCGTTCTGCTATTTTTGACCATCAGGGTGGTGATGTCGATATGAGTACGAAGTTATGTGTCATGCTATAGCCATATATATGTTTATTCGCATTGTACGATGCGCAAGCAAGCATTGGTCTATGCATTTTCTCCCTTTCTCCATCTCTTCATCCCTATCTTTTTCTGCTAGGCACAAGTCAATGCCTCCTTCACATTTCCGTCTTGACCAAGGATAGACGTGGTTGCTGCTGGCCGCAAGGAACGGGTGGTGGACAATGCGCCGAAAACGTGAAAACGTGTTGACATTACTCGTAATGCGGAAATGTTGTCCACATCGAGGATTTCCCTCTTTTTTACTTTCGGGCGGAGTCACGCGTCCGCAACTCAGAAATTCTGGGGCCGCGCACGTGTATATTCGGCCGATCGGTCGCTGTCTGGACCCGAACAGTCTGACCCGCCGTGGGCAGACAAACTGACTCGGTGAGCCCGACCATTTGGCCGGTGCTGACGCGGAGGAGGACTCGGAGGCAGAAATCTACTATCGGTTTCAATGACGGGCAGAATTGAACACGAGAACCTTTATGGGTCAATATGTTCTTATCCTTGGGATGTTCTTCCTATACTACATGAGATACAGGGGATTCATAGGTATTAGTTCTCAAAGTTGAGATTACCTCTGTTCTACCTGAGCCAAGTTTTGGCCCTTGCAATTGTGGAACAGATCAGCTGAAGGCTCCAGTAGAATCATCACATCACCATCTAACCAGCGTCATGGACGGAAGTCAATCGCCGATCAACTCACTAAGGCGCTCCGCTATGCGATCATTCGCCGTCACCAGACTACAAATCCGAGTTTATATTGAAGTGCGAGATTCTCGGTCTCAACTTGTTTATCGTGTGTTTTGAGTCAGTCTTAACGCAGTTCTATTGGGTGAGAGACTAACCAATACTTCTGCCCAGAGTTCATCAATCTTAGAACTATTGGAAGGCTTCACGCAGGTTACGCCAGTAACTTGATAGCTTGCGATCATGACTCAAGCCATATCAAGCGCGTTATGCGGGATGATATCGTGGAACGTCGAAAATGAGACGAACACCCCACGCTGACTTGCGGACATGACTCTACCATCTTGAGATCGACAAAGCTAGGCACGGATATATCATCGCACTTTCCCACTCGATGGTGCATTCATGGTTATTAACACTGTTTCATCAAGGTTCCCAGTGAGTCAACATCATCTCATAGCAACTTCCAGGAATCAGAGCGAAAGTCTTTCCATGGATCCCAAGGACATTCTCGTGAGGCTCGAAGGGTATCGTGTCTTGCTGCAGATTACCTTGATGCCGTGTTTTGATTCGGCTTTGACACACAAGTCTGAACGTAAGGTTCTCCATGGCCTATGACTCTGGGAGGCTTGACCTCAAGACCTCTTCAAGTGACAAGGATTTTGACAAGGAAGATGACGAGTCAAGTCGTCCAGGCGACGGCATAATTTGAATGAAGATGATGGAGAAAAGAAATCAACAGCGATGGAGGAGTTCTGCGATGCAAGTTCACAAGCGCCGTGGTTTGACACATGCAAGGTGAGTCCGGGATGACATTTGATATCAGCGTTCTCGATATTAGGGTCTGTATGGTCTTCACTCGTTAGACCCAAAAAACCCTAAGCCTATTTATTGATGTGATTTGGCTGCAGCTTGTGAGTATTCCAGTCCCTACGACACCCCAGAAGCTTTTGGCTCACGATGATCGGCTCCATGCTTGCCACAGGCTATGGCATAACAAAAGGAATCTGGTGCGGCGTCATCGTTGATTCTATGTCAGGCGACTGTATAATATAGGACCATTCGATCTTACAATGGCATTATCTCATTAGACACTCGTCCCTGGGCTTGTGGGTAGTGGTTTGCTGAATTTGAACTGACCGGAAAGGAGGGGCCAAACCAAGCCGGAGCACCAGAGAGGCCATAAACGTGATAGACACCGCTCCTAGTATCTTGACTATGCTACGTTCTTGAGCAGACCACCAATGTTGATTATTTAAGCAACAACACCGGCTCAGTTGTGCCACCACATTAGCACGCATCATACATCATCACCCCTTGTTTTAGCCAGTTTCATATTCGCATTGAATATCACGGTATTACAAGTAGGAAATAAAATGTTATTTCCTAATTTGTATTATTAAGGCTACTTCTGATAACTCCTGCTCAGTCCGAAGCTGTGTCTGTGTAATCGATTTGGGCGTTGGTTGATATTGTTGGTGCATTCTGGTTTGGTGGAGGGCGCCGACCTTCTCATTGTGGGCAGACTTGAAACCTCGCATCGTGGATAAGGGCGATCAGAAGAAAGCCCGTAATCGCGTTGAGTCGATGACTCGGAACTTGTTGGTGCATCCGCCGCGCTTCTGCGAATGCAGCTTTGCTTGGTAGTGGTTCGACATTGCATGTGTGTATGCGATGAATCCTGGTACGCCGCCATGGATACGGCCGAGAGTACGCGTACTGATACCAAAAGACTTTCGAATATAGAGACCTTGGTCTCCTGAAGCTCCCAAACACTTAGGATTCTCCCTGTGTGATCTCACGTCTCTCGTACTCGGCCCTGGAGAATTTCCTGTCTATCTCCAGAAATGATGCCTCATCCGGACATCCCCTTGGCCGACTTCCAACATCCAGCGTTCCATGATGCCCCATACCCACCATAATCCTAAGCAAATTTCAAGGGCAAAGAATGCTTCTGAGATGGTGACGCGGGAGTCCTTGATGCATGTGGACATTGCCAACAGCATGAAGAAGATAAAGCTGATGATAAATAGGCACGCGATGCCCCCCACGCAGAAGCTATCAGTCATACCGTCTCCGACGTCGCTTGTGATTCGTATGCTGTCCGGTAGCCACAGCGCGGTTTGGATTTGTTGAAGGCATCGTACGAAGCTTGTCTTGTAAGGTAAAAACAAGTACCTGAGTAGTTTACGGAGGGCGACATCGAAGATGTAGTAGAAGCCTCCGTTGACCCATGAGTCGGACTCGACGCTTAACATGATATAATCATCCAATTCAGCCGTCCAAGCGTCGTCGGCCATCTTGAAGGACTTCTGAGTTTATCGGGGGGATTCCTCTACGAGTTCGACGAATCCAGGAGTATGACGTGTGATTTTGGGTTAAGATCAAAGACCGGGCGGGAATTCAGAACAATGGTAGTGATGATGTGGGTGACTGAAGGGTCTGGTGAATGGTGACCAAGAGGACGGAGAGTCACACTTATCTTCCAGGCGTGTCTCTTAGGTATACGATGCTGCAGATGCATCGGAGATAAGAAATGTTAACTCCAAAGTTTGCTCAAAGCACTCCGGAACTCGAACTTAGGTCGTCCACAGAATGACTCACCTTTACGGACACCTTTGTGGTATGCTCGGAAAAACGGCCATCCGGCTGTGGATGGGTACATACCTAATGTCGAGTGAATACTGACCTTGGACTTGCCGGCTGCGGAAAGACGTCAGCTGTGTCAGGCAGCAGAGATGAGGCCGACGGGGTTGGTCCTGCTAGGATTGTTCTCATCACGGCAAGACACGGGCTGAGGCTTCCCGATACACTCCTCGTAGGCACTCATGGCATTCACAGCTTCTGAACGTGGACTTCCGTTGTGGTTCATGAAGTAAGAACATCCGATGACGAGCAGGCACTTGATGGCAAGAGAGATAGGAGCGGATGGCTGTGTGAGGTTGCCTGCCCAAGCAAGTGTCAATGTGGACAGCTTGTGGAATGCAGTGCCAGAATCATAGATCAGCATCGAAATCAAGAAGCGGAAGGGAAACCAAAGACCACCATTATCGCATCAAGATAGTGGCAAAGGACGGACTCTGACAGAAATGCTAAGAGGATCTGGATTCTACGACCAGAAGCACGAAGGTACTCACACTATCTACGGCAACCCTAAGCTGTGTGACAGGGGGCCCCTTCACCACTGTCATTGTATGTTGGCCGATACAGGAGACACGGGGGATCGGGCGGATGCATGGGCGTGGAGCAAATCCATCATCGTTGTCAATCCCATCTCCCAGATGCAAAAGCAGTTCTTGGTATGCCCTGTGAGGGATCATGGAAGCCATGATGCTCACATGCAAGAAGTTAGTCAAAGCCACTGTGGAGAGATACGAAGGGGGAAATACCTACAAAAGTTGTGTCGGGCTGTCCAAACCCATTGGTACATGTAAGAACAGCCCTTGAACCCCCGGAGCCCAACAAGATAGGCCACATTCATCCTGGAGGGATTGTAATACCAGGAGCTGAGGAGACAAAAAGGAGAGTCCCAGGAGTCCTAGAACTCGGAAAGATAGGTCACAGCATCCTGGAGGTATTGTAATACCAGGAGCTCAAAAGAGAAAAGGTCCAAAAATTGTCGGGAAAGACGAGATTTGATGACAAAAATTAAGCCGATAAGACTTACATCACGCGCTCGATTTCACGTCGGGTGACTGAGAGCAGTGCGTCCACCAATGCGATTGCAAGCAGCGCGATGAGGAAGACTGGGAGGTATATCGCAAACCGGAGTGTGACCTGGTCTTCGAGCCCCGAACTCTCCAACTCGTGTCCACTGGCATCCCGAAGGAAGGCGATCCCGGCCCGCGTGAACCCGGCAATCCGGTGGAGGGCCTCGCCACGAAGGCGGGCTAAGAGGTAAAGAAAAGCGCTGTGAAGGTAAGGATGCATCTCGAACGCTGTTGAGTAACGATCGTAATGGATTGATGCGGATGAAGAAGAAGAAAAGAAGAGATGAATGGAAATGGACGGTTGTGGGATTAAATAGATTGGTCGGAGCATCTGGCGTGATGCATCAAAGGGAAGAGCCTTTCCTATGCTGCTGCCTTTTCGATGAAATGAACAATCGAGGACAGGCAACGGAGGATAATTGAGCATGTAACGGCAAACGTCCCCTGCCGAGTTGGGAACATCGTGCCTCCTCAATGAGACTTTTAGCATCACTATGAGCATCGCAATTGCCCAATCTTCAATACATTCGTCGGTACATGTTCTTTCTGCAAGCCTTGGCCGTTGGCAAACTTCCCTCGGTCATGAAGACTATGATCGTGGCTTCTTCATTGCCCATCGCCATAGTCAATGAAGCCGCCTGCCACACGATGCGCTGATAAGGGGCAGTCTACATCACTGGACACGAAGAGAAGGAGGGCTCGGTCTCAGCCTATCCTCCCGTTGAGAACTTCCTGCGTTACTGGGCGAACCACGAGAGGTCATTACTGTAGGAACCGCAGTGTGCACCTCCCAAAAGCACTTGGTCTTTCATCTCCTTCTCACGTCATTTATCATTTGCACTTGACGAGGGGACTTCCCGCACTCCTTCCAAAGCTCGCGAAAGGTTGAACCTTGTCTTCCTCCAATGGCTTCGTGACAAACCCGTCGACCAGGCAGGAAAGAGACTGGCAGACGACATGTCCAAACTTGACCTTCGAAGAAGGAGGGGACTTAGTCCAGGTATTCATCATCATTATGAAGCTGGAAATTCTCTGTCACATTTGCCTTGTGGTTTTTCTCTAAGATATCGGCAGGAGACACCATGCAAGGATCACCTGGGTGATCAACTACCCACTCTTGTCCTCTGCACCAGCTTGATTCACGAGCGCTGTAAGACTTGCGAAGCAGAGCCAAGTATAGGACTTATATATCCATTTTCGATGATGATCTGCGAACTTGCATGTCCAAGCACGATCATGAGGTTGTCAAGCGTGTCTGATGTCGTATATATTGACGATATGTCATCACTGAGCCGCAAGATTACACATGATGTTAGCAGGCTCCGGCGCCGAAATCATAGTTTTATCTCGTACGATTCATTGAATAGGATATATAAGCAGCCGTACTTGGGTTCGATAAGCTTAAGCAAATGGTTTTGCGGACTGGATCAGTCCCCTCTTGAGATCTGACAATGAATTGCGTTCTGAGATAGAAAACAGATTCACAGTCTTTGCATTTAAGGTATGGGGACCAGATTAGGATCCTAGGAGTACGCCAGAACCCCGTCACAAAGTACTGAAGGTTTCACAATGTAGTCAAAACCGTGAAATTAAAGTACATCTGATATATCTAGTGAGCTAAAGCATTGCAAGTATTCGAGTACTTCCATGTGAGAGCAAAACCGATGCCCATTGCGAATAGGAAGAGAACCAAGTACTAATACGGAACCGGCTCCGTAGATCAAGTATCAAGGTCAAAGTGATGGCAGTCTTCCGGCTGAGCTTGAAATCCTCAAATGTATGTAGCTTTCGGTCTCTTGTCCCATCTTGAATTTTCAAGAGTCCTGCAACAAAGCACATCCTAGCAATGATGGTGTAAAGAAGGATATGGAAATGCGGGTGTCTCTCATGGGGGTTTGAATTTCTGTGAGATCGAAAGTCTATGTAGGCTTCGTCTCGCCGGACCCCCTCCTTTCAAGTATTGAAGAGGATACACCCTGTCGCTCCTTGTCATGTCACAAAAGATGACTGAGCACATAGCATCATACAACTAAGTAAGCATAAACAACTATTCAAAGAAGCGAGGAGAATCCACGTTGCAGAAAAATTTCTTCTGTTGATCCAAGCGCTAGGGGTGATGCCCGTTGACACCGAGTAGACAGATGGATGGTTTGCAGTCAGCGAAGCATGCTGCAGTACGTGTGAAAGCTTTCGGAATATTTCTTCCGTTTACTTACTAAAATATGTTCATCAGCACGGCCACTTGGTTGTTCGAAGCAAATCTAGGGATCGAAGTCTCTCTTCCAGCCACATGCAGGCTTGTGGGTGTGGTCAAGGTCCGTACTGGAAAGAATCCTACTAAGGTAGTTCAGTTGTCGTCACGTGAAACGAAGGACGTGCTGGTGTGAACATTCAACCTTGTATATCTCCTGAATAAAGGAACTGACAAGTTTCGGATATCGCGAATATCGACGAGTCTTTTCGTTCACCGTTGCAGACTTAAAGTACAACTGATCTGACAACAGCTAAGGAGAGATAGGCAGTCTTGCCCAAGAAGTATGCGAGTTTTTGGATACGGAAATGATTTTCCACCGACGGCAGCCGGACGTCTCTTCATATGAAAACGCGGATTGTCTATCGTTCGTTCCAGCTCTCTAATCTTGTGATCAGTCGGTCCTTCGAATCCTCATTCCTCTTTGGGGGTATTTCCGCAAAGTGGAGCAGGTGATGTGCCGGATACCCGAGCGGCAGCCGTTGCGGCACAGTCGCGTACGGCGAAATCGCCATCCCGTCATCCAGTTCCCGAATGGCGGAGACGTTACGCTACGCTCGAAGTGTGCCTTGAGTCCGAGATATGTCAAGCATTCAGACTTATCGATCCCATAAACGATTGGACCCATGGCATCCCCCCAGGCCTCGGCTTTGCCTACACACCACCATGTCAAGTCTGCAATCATCTGCAAACCCCTGCCTTGGCGGCGTGGTGCCAAGTAACCAACCAACACCAGCGCAGCATTTTGCTTATCCGCCGGCCGAGTCCCCGCAGTGCTAAGCTTTCCCGGCACTTATGTTTAGCCCGCGCGGATAGCGCCATACCTTAAGGCTACTCTTAAAAGGAAAGTGGTATTCGCAGGCGGATCCCTGGATACAACGGTCAACACCAACGGCTTTCACGATGATTCCGGATAAGGGAGGAGCTCAGTCGACGCTGGATGCACTTCGATGCAACAGCGTGATTCTCCATCACGCTCTATGGCTTAACCTCCATTTTCAAAAAGTTCCTTCGGGAAACACGGCATCGCGATATCTACTGACCTGCGAGAAGCAGAATAGCGGCTTCATTGCATCGGGAGGCCGGGACAATGGCGTGAGATATTGGCTGCCGGATGGCCGATGTCGATGTTGATTAAAACAAGCATCACAAAGGATATAAAGATGGGCAAGATTCTCGGCCAAGAAGAAAGAATTTAGAACAGCATCGCCAGCATCAATCCCAACAAGCCCCTTGCCATCTCACCTTCGGTCTCATCCCATCAATCCTCATCTACTTCACCAGTCAAGATGAAGTTCTCCGCTTTCGTCCTCGCCGCCGCTGGCATTGTCGCCGCCGCCCCCGGCACTCAGCTCGTCCAGCGCAACTACTCTCCTCTCACCCCTCGCTCGTCTCGCTCCCGCTACAACTCTTCCCCCATTAAGAGACTCTCCACCGAGGCCGTTGAGACCCTTGAGAAGACCTCCGGTGTCAAGAACGTCGACTACTCCAGCAACTGGGCCGGTGCCGTCAAGATCGGAACCGGATACAACCACGTCACCGGTACCATCACCGTTCCCGAGGTCAGCGGCTCCAGCGGCGCCGCCGCCTCCGCCTGGGTCGGTATCGACGGCGACACCTGCCAGACCGCCATCCTCCAGACCGGTATCTCCTTCTACGCCGACGGCACCTTTGACGCCTGGTACGAGTGGATCCCCGACTACGCCTACAGCTTCTCCGGCTTCTCCGTCTCCGTCGGCGACCAGATCAAGATGACCGTCGACGCCTCCTCCAAGACCAAGGGTGTCGCCACTCTCCAGAACCTCACCACCGGCAAGACCGTCACCCACACCTTCACCAGCACCCCCTCCTCCCTCTGCGAGACCAACGCCGAGTGGATCGTCGAGGCCTTCGAGGAGAACGGCAGCCAGGTCACCCTCGCTGACTTCGGCACCGTCGTCTTCACCGGCGCCGCCGCCTCCGGCTCCAGCGGCTCCACCACCCCTGCCGGTGCTGATATCATTGATATTTCCCCCAACAGCGGCCGCACCATCGAGGCCTCTGCCTCCGTCAGCGGCAGCACCGTCACCGTCAAGTACGTCGGCTGAATGTCTACTCAACCGAGTACATATAACGATGAAACAGCAATCACCCTACTACAAGGTGGTCTGATACAGGGTGGGATCCTGTAATCATGGGGTTGCGGGGAGTGGCGAGGGGTAGATGCTTGGTTTTTCCTATTCTATGTCGAATGGGAAGCATTCCGCTCCTTTTTGGCGATTGATGGTTGACATGGTGTTATGACGCGGTCTTTTGACCATTCATCTTGTGCATATTGGATAGCTTCCACAGTAAATAACAGAACATATTCTGCATTTGACTCTTCCTTTGCATCATGCATTGTATCAGACATGAAAGAATTATTCCTGGTTGGCCTAGCGATCAATTCATTGCCTTAGAACTACGCCTCCTCAACACTTATGCTACTGCGACAGTGATTTGAAGACTGCTTAGATCCTCCCGGCAGTTTTTTCGAAGGATGCGTACCCCAGAGATCTCAGGAAATCCTACTTGATTCGCTCAGGCACGACATCAACAAGTTGAGATAAAGTTCTGACGCCGCCACGTACTAACGAACCTTGATTAGGAGGTGCCAAATGACACCCCGTTTACTCCGGGTCTGCCCTAAAGTCACACCAGCATGGACGGAAGGATAAATGAAAGGGAGAATCAACTATGCCAAGTTCGATGCTTTTCTCGCGATGATGTGGGCTAAGACTTCAAGTGTGATTGGTGATATGTGCATGAATAATCTAAAGGATGCTGCAGAATCTCATCTTACAACCCACCACTTCATCCTCACTTGTTCAACATCTCAGAGTCACAACCTCTGTGGACTCGTAACTTTGACGAGAGTGCAAGAGCTACGAGGCCTAGTAAGGCCACTGGAAAGTGGTAGAAATGTTCACAGACCAAGGCGCACCAGCGGACAACGAGTCCACGCGGCGAAGCATGAACTCGCTGTGTCTGAACGCCACGCTAGGGGCATACTGAGGCACCATGTGGCCACTGATCTTGGCAGTGGAATGGGTGAAGCCGCGCTCAGTGTGAACGGATCCTTGGACATTAGCACCGGCCCAGCTCGGAACGTTCTCGTCGACGTTGTTGACTGTAGGGATGAGGAGGTCCTCTGAGGGCTGCTTCTGGAATCCCTGCTGGCCGTTCCACTTGATGTACTGAATAGCGAGGGTGGTGACATTGGGCTTGATAACGTAGTCCGCCAGACCAGAGCCGACGTGAACGTTGTTCGTGCGCTCCACAAGGGTTTGGAACTTCTCCTCGTGCTCAGTGCCGTTGTAGTTGTCATTGTAGTCGACGAAGACGGGGTCCTGGCACTCGCTCCATGTAGGGTAGTCCACAGAAACGTGGATCGCCTTCCTAACTTCGGGTCTGTTGAAGTACAAGGTGGTATTGGGAGGGCTGTACATGATGGATGGGAAACCCAGAACATCCCAGAGAACAGGGCAGGTATCAAGGATGTGGTATCCGTTGAAGCAAGGGTTGATGATTGTCGAGATCGCGTCAAAGTGGGCAATAATATCGCACTCCTCCTTGACATTCGCTGCTGGCCAAGGACGCGCAGGAGGCGGGTACGCCAAGTGCTTGTTGAAGTACTCATCCAACTGACAGTTCTTGGCGTCTTGCTCGATCTGCTTGTCGGCACCGCTGGGAAGCGCAAAGACGTTTTTCCAGTAGCGATAAAATGACGGGAAAGCGGCGTGGTCGAAGTTCATCGCGTCATCGTAAGGCATGACTGGGTCGTAGTAGACCGCGCCCTTGACGTCGAAGTAGCTGGTGTCGTTCTTGTCGAGCATGGCGGCGCCGACATAAGGCACGTAGATACCGGCGTAACTTTCGCCGGCAATGTAGATCTTCTTGCCTTGCAGGTCGAAAGTGTTGACAAAGTTCTTCCAGAAGCTGACAAACTGGTCTGCGGTCTCGGCGTTGTCTGTGGCAGTGACATTGCCGCTGCTGAATCCTGTGCCGATGGGGTACTCGACCCTTCCAAGAAAGTGTTATTACCGTTCTCTTGTGCTCAAGCAGTTCAGGATTTCTCACCAAATCACGTTGGCTAGCTTATGCCAGGACCAAGCATTGGCGACAGGCTTGATGGTGCCATACTGCCACAAGAACGGGCCGTTCTCTTGAAGAAAGCCTGTTATTGAACATTTAGCAACTCATCCTGAAAGAGTTACAGGATTGGGCTTCACTGACCTTCCATGGAGGAGCATCCCGGGCCACCATTGAACCAGATAATGACATCGTCCTTGCCAGCAGGGTTCTCGGTGGGGAAGAACCAAAAGAAGTTCTTCTGCTGCTCACTCTCGGGCTTCGAAGCATCGACCGGAATGAGACCGGCGTAACTCTCGCCGACATCGAAGTCAACGTCCGGGATTCCGGTTCCGTCAACGTAGAAAGCTATGGCTTTGGTGTCAGAGAAGTACCCAGATTGAATAGCACAGAACATATCATACCACTGGTCTTGTTGTTAAAGTACTGCAAGGTGCTGCTACGACGCATAATCGCCCGCGGTGGAGCCTGCACCTCAGCATGACCAGGAGCGACGCGACGGAGCGGACTCCGGTGCGACTTTGGCGGTGCGTAGGCAGAGATCAGCGGCAAGCTGAGCATAGCCGTCAGGCCGGCGGTGAGACTTGATGTGCGCATCTTGAGGGTCTGTCGTTGTTCCTTGCCAAGATGTCAAGCTCCAGAGCCTCAAAGTGACCCTGCAGAGCCAAGAAGAGGCCAAGAGATGCAGAGGAACATGGCATCGCTATTTACGTGTCGGTAGGCAGCAGTCCCGCGGGTATGGTGGCAAGTCGCGCGCCGGCCAGTTGGGACGGACAAATGATACGAGATTTGATCATATTACGGTGGGTAGCGACTTGCCCCAAGGAGGCATGTCGATTGCTATGGCGCGTTCCCCTACTATAATTCTCTATTGCTCATTTCTGATCTTCACAAAACGCGCCGTCTCCCGTTAGCTACTGCATGAGGGATGGTTTGATTCATGTACAAATCAGGCAGGTCAATGGGATAATCTGGGGCAACCAACTGATAAGACGACAAAGTGCCGACATAGCCGGTGTCGGAGTGGAGAAAATTGAAATTATCAAAAGCTTGTTTTGTTACCCCACGGCCAGCCACGGACGTTGGATGGCTGTTCCGGTCGATGCACTGTCACTGTCAACGGCCGACTTACTTATCAAGTCTAGCGTCCAAGCAAAAAGTTTCTATGTAGTCCGATTCGAAAACAAAACCATCAGCTCTTCTTCACAACCAACAGCTGTCAGATCAACGTGATGGTCACAAGTTCAGCATGATCGAACCACGTTTGGTCAATGACCTGTCCGACCCCAAGCCTCTTGAACCGTCTATCTGATCCATCTCCGAGGTCTGGCTCTATTTCTGACAGAAACATCACGTTGGAGCCGTCAGGCTTTTCGTTAAATTCGTTGTTCGAAATCTCAGCAAGGTAGAATGGCTCAGCCGGCCACTCGTTCAAGTCAAAGACCATCCACCCACCAGGCGTCATATCTCTTCCAGAAAACAACTTGGTATTCTGCGTCACGAATCCGCCGTACGTGATGGATCCTTTGGGATAGAATTCCATGAAGTAGTAGTCATCCCCAGATCGAGTAGATGGATCTCCTTCTCTTCGTGCCTCCCACTTCTTCAACCGGGCCGAAAACCTCCATGCGGACGCGGAGCCACTTATCTTGACGCGATTCAGTTCACGAATACAACTTTTCGCCGCACGAGCTGGTGCGAGGAAAGATATAGCTCCAATGGTAGATGTCCATGACCAATGGGGTTGGTCTTGAAGAGCGAGCGGACGAGTCAACGTCACTTTCGCGAACCAAAGCAGCTGAGTAAGTACGCAATGTGTATGAAACGCTTCGTGGAGCAGAGAGTCATCATGAAATACCCCGGAGGTATATTCTTCGGCAATTCCTTTGCCAACCTCTGTAGCCAAGCCCAAGATTGCGACCGGCTTATCCGACTCGTATGTTAGGCTTCTTGCAGCGTAGGTGGACACAAGATCGCACCAGTCTGCATAGAACCTAAGATCTCTTCGTGATCTACTGACGAGTCGCTTTTTGGTTTTGCTTCCTTAGCTTGCCGATATCGCCTGGCGCTTTCAAAGAGCCTCTGCTCATCCCCCGATGTCTCATTTTCACCATCCTCGCATTTGAGCAAGGTGCGACACGCCCAGACCATTCGTGCTTTTGTAAAATGAATAACACGAGGGGATAGCATCCATTCTTGAGTAATCCATGCCCGACTCCCGAGCGGGGTTTCGCTGACCGTGGTATCCAGCGCGTCAGGAAACAGAGTTGCCGACATGTATTGTCCTTGATCCGGGTCTCCGTAGGGAAGACGGACGACTGGTTGCAGTGGAGGACGCGGAACAAAGCAACCCTCGGAGCCGTCTCTGGCACCGGACGCGGCGACAGTTATTTCGGCATCTTTGTAAATGCGCCCCATCTGAACTGACTCCTTGCGCCAGTCATCAGCGTCATCCTGCACGATGCATAGACTATCAATCCAGAGGTAACGGAAGCCGAGAAACCGTACAATCTTGATGGCATCTTGGAAGGTCCTGGGTAGACTGGCGAACTTGATGACGTTACAATGCTGAGCTAGGTTGTGAGATGTAGTTGTCAGAATTCTTTGCTTTCCCCAGCAATGGCTTAGAGCGGCATAGAAGGCATGGACTCCGTTGGTAACCAGGAGTTTCGGCTCCCCTGATCCATCAGCCGGGCCAACGTCAAGGACCCTAGTGGGCAGTGGTGGCATAATGTTTGAGCCACTCTTTGCCAAGGAAGTCTCTGGCCCAGTAAATGCCTCGTTGCAATCCTTGTGATTGGTTTTGCAAGTGTCGTACCAACGCTGTACCAGCCCGAATGCCTCGCTTGAGCCGGAGTCCGTCAATAGCCTCGTCCCGATGACGTCTTGGTTGCGGGCAGGTGCGCTATCTGTGATATGAACATCTTAGCTTATCCTGGCAACTATGGACTTGTTTGTCTGTTGGAGCTCTTACTAGGATCCGAGAATAGACTCATCTTCACTAGATCATAATCGTACTCAATGTCTGGGATATGCACATTGATCCCGAACAACATTGGAGGCTGCACACCGTCTCCAGGGGCGTCCTCTGCCGTATCCAAACCATCGCCGACACCAAACAAGTACAGAGGTTCAGGCTTCGTGTTCGTGCGAAGTTGTTCGTCTGACTTTGGGGTCCTGCAATCCTGGTCCATAGCCAGGCGTATAAGCCTGCAAAAGTCGCATACCTTGGCCAAGTGAATGAGGTCGTGTGCACTATCGATATGGCGATATCCATCAGGCTGAGCCAAGGCTTGCGGGGTAATACCCTTGCAAGCGGAGCAGAGAGCCGCCATCGTTGAATTTGTCAAGGCCAGCCGGGAATCGAACAAGTCTCGGTGATGGAATTTGCAATACTCGAAGAAAATGACTGAGCTCTAAACGCTGTGTCTTTGCCATTGTCGTGGGGGTGCGGTGAGAGTGCTTGCGCGATATTCTGCAACCTCTACATGTATTACATTATCTCCCAACCAGTTGGTGCCAATGTTCTATGCATGTCATCTAAGTCACCCAAGCTGGAACACTGTTGGCTTAATATTGCCAAACACGCGTCGTAAAGTGGAGCCACGATGGGGTCAGTCCCCCAGCCTCCTCATACTCGTTGTGTTTTGAGACTCACATCCGGGCTTTTCGGTCCAGCGATGTTTATCAAAATACTACATATGCCTGATCCATCTCGTTCCTTTCAGACGAATGATAAGATCGTTACAAAGTTCCACATATCGGATTTGGATCTTGCCGGCTTCGTATGAAGTGGATGAGTCCGGGTGAAGAACCCAGAACGATTGGCGACTCATGGGTTGACGCAAAGATTATCGGCGAGAATATGCAATACATCCGAACGCTTTAAGGAAAGTCTTGAATACGGGCAGAGAACGGTTTAAGTAGATTGTTTGAAAGGAATACCGCGACTCTGCTGCTGGTTTTGGTGACATTGGACTCTTCTGCCTTCTTGCTCAAGCCGTTGAAGGTGCGATTGAAGATGAAACAGTCCGCGACAGCGAAATCAACGCCAACATAGCAAAGCAAGATCCATCACTAGCATTTAGATGGTCAGCGTTGCCGTAAGTACAATCAAATCAACCCCAGGCCTAAAATTCATTTGATAGGGCGTAATCTTTTTTAGATATTGGGTAACTTGATCAGTTGGAATGGATAATTACTTAGAATTGCGTAATTAAGGACAGCTTTGACATCAATCCTTATCCGAGAATGCATGTTTGTCAAAGAGAAAAGAAGAATGAAATAAAATGAAAGGATGGTTGTCTTTTTAACGTGGCTTATTTCTACAAAAGCTATGTGGAGTTACACTTAATCGATCCATGTTAGGCAAGTCAATGGATTGAACCTCGGTATGAGCTCAAATCGAACCCCTTAGATCTTCATGAATACGTCTGATTTGGTTGGCTTCATTAAGTCGTGTTGATGAAAGCGCGAAGGTTGACGGGGTTCTGCGTCTCAAACTTTGTCATCTACCAATATTATCTCCATGTCATTTTGTCGGATTGGAAGTTTAATTCGACTACGAATCGCGGGCAGCGCAAAAGCCAATTGAAATCTCAACTAGACTCCGATTAACCCTCCAATCGACGGCTGGAACCTTCATTTTACATACTACGCAAGATCAGTTAATAGATAGCAATTGACCCTTCGTCAATCACAGAGCCCAACGGTTCGAACCCACTACCCTGGGAAAGGGATACCAACACATTTGAAGTCTCGGCGTAGATGAAACTCTGAGTTTCTTAGAAATAGTAAAATTCTCTTCGGTTTCAGCAGAATCCTCGGTTTCCTTCACTTTCTCAAAGTTCCTTGCCATGCTTGGCAAGACCAACCACAAGTCAAGTGGCCGCATCACATCTGCTGGCGTTTCCGAAAATAGAGAGTGATCCGCGCCCTTGCAGCAGCTGAGAGCAAGATATTCTCTCTGAAGCGGTGAGAATGAAACTTGAATAATGACGAATGACCGTTCTAAGCCTGAGTGACTTTGCTCATTCTGGTAGTGAATCCGACAGGAGACTCGTGTCGAGTTATGATCAGGCGAGGGTGTCTGATCTTTGCATATTCAGCCAGCCACAGGTCGAAACATCAACCCAGAGCTATTTTATTCCCACTGTATCTGACGGCTGTCGAGGTGATGTTCAGCGTGGCGTTTTAGTTACTTTTGTGCATGGCAGGGTCTAACTCTTGCCCCATCCTGAGACATACCGAGCCCACCAGCGGGCTGCTCCCGTCGGATTAGTACCCCGCACCTTATACCCACACCCGATCTCAGGAACCCCCCAATAGGTCAACTTCGCATACCAACGATGGAGCGACTACCGGTAGTAAGCCTACCTGCGTGCTTATGACTGACTGAATTTGCAGAAGATAATTGATATCACATCAATCTCCGACATTGCTTCATGTCTCATTGCCGCACTCTGGGCACCAGCCTGACTCTCCGTATGATGGCATCAATGTGGAACAGAAGTTGCAATCATTTCACCCAGAGAGGCAGTGAAAGCGTTTATCCTTGCCTCAATCTGTGCAAAGACGCTGGAGAAGCCTAGAGATCAAGAGACTTAGTCCACAACCTGATTCTGTCTACACACGCCAGTGCTCACCATTCATGACTCCATGCGGAACTCCTTGATTGATGGTAGTCGTCTATCGACATGAGTCTTTGTGTCATGAAATACCGACAAAAGTGACTGAGGCCCACTACTCTTTCGACTGTTCATCTGAAAAGGTTTAGAAGTATCCGTCAATCGTCTCCGTCTCCAGCCTCCGAAGACAACAATCGGCTTTCCGTACACATTAATCGGTGTGCTTTGATTATCAACGTTGTGGACTCACATATATCTAATGCTGTTGGAAAGAGCGATCAGCGGCAACCAGGAGAGGGGATGTATGTTTCCTCACGGCCGGCATTTTCTTGAAGATCAGTTGTCATAAGTAAGGAAATCGTTTGGGTACTTGCAAGATGACCCCATCCTTCGGCTAAGGTAGGTACCCACATGTCAATATCTCGGAAAGTCCATTGCTTGTGATTGAAGTGCAGCCATCCGCAGTTACGCAAGGTATCTCGGCACGCTCGGATTGGAGGTACACCAAACACACTCCTCAACAAAGTGTCGGGCTGGGAAAGGGGGCGGACTGCTCACTTTCATCGGCGGGATGGGTGTTCACTATCGTTCCACACCGCTACCATTGCCAGAGAGGCATTGAAACAATCTGATGGAATGCGCATTTGGCGCTCTCCGCCTGAAAGGGAAAGTTGCGACCGACCAGTACCGCTGCAGCTGTCGGGCGTTATTTGGAGTTCTCCCATGCGGGAGATGGAACATATGGAAATGATTAGCGGGTTACACTACGCGGTCGGTCAGACAAGTCTGTCCTATCATATCCCTGTTCGCTTTGAGATGCTCAATTTCGATTAGCACGTTCAAATCAACCATCACGAAGCGTTGCTCTCGAACGATGTTGCTTGTTTGCCTTCAACATACAGGTTCCTTGGAAGAATTCAAGTTGCGAGGCAGAGGCGCACGAGAATCTCCCGATGAGTGTTCTTCCTGCGCGTCCATCCCCTCATCCGTCTCACCGTGCCTCTAAAAGAGCAAAGCCAAGAAAAAGAAACCCGCAGGGAAAGGTAACACACAGCCACACCATTGCAGCATACTCACATTGCTGTATTATAACACCATGATCTTGATATGAACCTTGAGATCTTAGGGCTATGAAATGACTTAGCCTGTCTCTTTATGGCACAAGCTTTCAAGTACTTGGTACTTAATCTGCGTGTCCACCTGTTCGTGCCCCTCGACTTTGTGTCTTCCTAAGAACTCATATCTCTACCAGTCTACTTCTCGCCTAGTACCTCCAAGTCCTCGGACAGAACCACTGGAGAACAAGCACTGTGCCATGGCGGAGAGATTGGATCAAGGCCGGAAGTCAGCACTGCTGATAGGCATCGACAAATACGACAGCGATGCGATGCCTGACCTTCACGGTTCCCTCTCTGATGTGGCTACCACCGAAAAGTTCCTCAATGCCGTTGCCGGCATCTCCAACATTACCAAGCTTACCTCCCCGCCGGATCCATCCAATGACCTGCTCCCAACCTTCGACAACGTCACCTCAGCATTCCAGACCCTCGCTGACAACGCTCAGCCTGGCGACTTCATTTATATTCACTATTCGGGCCACGGCACTCGTCGGCCCACCGTCTTCAAGGACCTTAAGCACGACACCGCTCTCCTTGACGAGTGCCTGGTACTCGCCCGTAGCGACCGATTGCTCGATTACCTCCGTGACGTCGAGGTCGCCTTTCTGCTCAAGCAGATAGCCGACAAAGGCGCGACTGTTACCTTCGTGCTTGACTGTTGCCACTCCGGTGGAGCCACACGGGGGGGCGACGGAGACATTGGGGTGCGGGGGGTTGAAGATATCCCGGAAGGGAGTTTCTTCGATTCTAATCGAAATCCCATTCAGTCTGTGGAGGATCTGAAAGATGCCTGGCGCCCGCTCTCAAACGACATTGAGAACGCCGGTCGTGGCGGCAGTGTGGAAGAGCACTGGATGACGTCGTCCAAGGGGATCAACTTCTTCGCTGCGTGCCAGCCGGACCAGAAGGCGCAGGAGGTGTCGTTCAAAACGCCGTTGAAGAAGGGGCTGTTCACTGATTGCCTCAACCGTGTCTTCAACGCCCTCGGAGGGGCAGATTGCCTGCCCCAGCTCAGCTGCGATGTCGTGTTTAACCTCGCTGCAGCGCAACTAGAGATCCACGAGCAAAAGAAAGGGGCGGAAGAGCAGCAACCGGTATTTGGCGGCCAGGGAGACTGTCATATTTTTGGCATTGAGAGTGTGGTCCAACCTGCTGTCGTCATTACTAACGTTGAGGAATTGTTCGACGGGAACCTCAAGGTGAAGCTGACAGCTGGCGTGGCCCACGGCGTCATCGTGGATGACATCTTCGCCATCTACCCCAAAGACAGACAGCTTGACAGCCTTGCTGACTACACCGCACCGTTGGCTACCTGTATTGTGACTGCTGTGGAGGATTTCACCTGCACAGCGCACACCCAAGCTAAGGGTGTTGACCTCAAACAGAAGGAGGAGGTTCAACTCGGCTGCCAGGCTGTTAGTCTGCGCAGCATTTTGAAGGATCACATCCTGCAGCCTAAAAAGGTTTTGGTATTGGCTGCAGATGACAGTGCTGTGTCAGTGGCCCAGAAAGTCCGAGATTGCATCAGCCGGAGCAGCTTTGTCGATCTTAAAGACGACGGCGATTCCTTCTTCAAAGTGGTGTTGCAAA